AAAAAAAAAAAAACAAGAAAAGGTACGATGATACGAACCTATAGTACATCTCCGGCCTTAAAACTCTTTCCATTAGGCCATTGACTGCTATTAAAGGTCCAACCAGCTGCATCCCCAACCACGTAGGTTTCTGCATAAACCATCTCAGAATAAAGCACCAACATACACAACAATACCATTAATGCAATGCTTCTTCCTTCAGCCATTTTTGCTTTTCTGATCGAAACAGAGACTCAAGGAAGGATTTTATAGCTCAGGAAGCTCCCTGTCTTATAAAATAATTCAGTCATATATGGACATTATATTTATCCACTACAAAATAATTATCATGTAAACCAAAAATTAATGAAGGACTAAATTGAAACAAAAAAAGATAATAAGGGACCAAAATAGGGTTTTAGCCAAAATTTTACATATAACTTTTAAAAGTACAAATATATATCATAATTATTTTTTACAAGCATTTATATCTACGATTATAAGTGAAGATGAAAATAAATTAAGTCAAATTAAATTTTATTATAATTTAATAGGTTTGAACTTAACTTTTTTTAAAAATATATATTCTAAATATGATTTATTTATCTATCATAGACACTTTTTAAATATTTGGTTAGAACTATAATCCTAAAGACCTACTTTATAATAATTTAACACTATTAAAAATATAAAATAAATATATTAAATTTTATACAAATCAAGTTTAATTTATTTATGATATAATATTTTTAATATCTAATATATATTTTTATATAATAATTTATTTTAAAATAGTAGTGGAGCAAGTGCCCCATTACTCACAACGTGGATCCGTCAACACTTGGATCAGTTGAATTATACATCGGTCTTCATGAGTTTAATTACATTCCTTCATTTATCTTTCAACACATTATAAATGAAATGCATTAGGTCAATTTCGGTCCAAATGAATACTTTGATTAATTTTTATTTTAATATTTATTAAATTTTCTTTATTTAATACTAATTACCAATTGTGGGCTATATTTAAATTTATATTTTCCAACAATTAAAGATAATGTCCATATATGACTGAATTATTTTATAAGACAGGGAGCTTCCTGAGCTATAAAATCCTTCCTTAAGTCTCTGTTTCGATCAGAAAAGCAAAAATGGCTGAAGGAAGAAGCATTGGTGCATCAATGGTATTGTTGTGTGTGTTGGTGCTTTATTCTGAGATGGTTTATGCAGAAACCTACGTGGTTGGGGATGCAGCTGGTTGGACCTTTAATAGCAGTCATTGGCCTGATGGAACGAGTTTTAAGGCTGGAGATGTACTAGGTTCGTATCATCGTACCTTTTCTTGCTTTTTTTTTTCTTTTTTGAAAATTAATGGAAAGAGTTTTAAGGACGGAGTTTTGAGTTTAATATGTTTTCTTATGCATATTTAAAAAAAAATTTACGCAAATTATTATAGTCGGTTAGAGGGTTAGACTCGATAAATGAAGATTTTTATTTGATTTTTGTTATTATTGTTGGAATATTGATTATAGTTAAAAGAAATGCTTTTGTTTAGAAAATGCATGCATGATTCATTGATTATTGTTTAATACATGCAGAATTCCATTATCCTCCATTGATGCACGACGTGGTGCAAGTGGACGAGTTAGGATACAACACATGCTTTCCTGTATTAGGAAGATCAACTTTTCATTTTTCAGGAAATGATCGCATCGTGCTTTCTTCAGGAACCAACTACTTCATCTGCGCCGTTCCTTTTCACTGTCAAGAAGGAATGAAAATTGCCGTCAATGCTGCATGATATTATAATAAGTACTTATAGTTATCTATGTATTTTAATTTTGCTAAGCATTTGCACACCTCTCTTTTATATTTTAAAATTACCCCTCTTTTTTTAACACCTTGAATGAAGATACATATCATTCATTTTAGATGATTGCTATAAAAAAAAAAGGTGAAAAAATATGTGCCAATTTATGTTTAACAAGGATCACTTCTGTCTAAATAAATGAGAAGTATTTATATAAAGACAGTTTTTATTTATTTATTTCGTGGTATCGTAATTGTATATTTTAATTGCTAGCTAGGTTCTAAATCTCTAATTGTACTAATTAAGTTTTTTAAAAATATATATAATAAGTCTTTTGTTTTTTTATCAAATATGTAATGCAACTTTTTCATGCGGTGTTCAATGATGTGCTAATATTATGATCTTAATATGATTAATATGCTAGAACCAAGTTGGTTGAGTAAGTAGGTAGGTTATTATAAATATTTTAGAATCAATTATATATATATATATATAATTATATGGTATAACTATTTTTAGTTAAAAAATATAAATATTAAACTATTTGTACAATAATATCAAATTTGACTCTAATGGATAAAACCAAACACTTATATGAATCATTATTTAAAAAAAAATACTCCATATAATGGATACACAAAACTCACCATAGTAATTTTTAATCTTTAAAAAAAGTTAGTCTTTAATTATTAGAAGTTTCAATTTATCAATAGAAATTAATCTTTATATATTCCTATAATTCATATTGTTCTTCCCTTTCATTCACACAGGGTGAATATTAATGTAAAAGAAAGAGTAACACAGATCTAAAATAAACTTATCATACTTAGATGTATAAAAAAATGGGTGGCCTAATAGGCTAACCTAATGATCAAGTTAGGTTGGATTTTGAAAAAGTAACCTAAAATAGAAATAAGTCAATTTAATCTAATCCAATAAGTCAATGGTGCTGGATTACTTGGTTAGACCATTAATTTTCAAACTTAAACTTATTGTGCCCATTTTATTTGATTTTTTATTTATCTTTTTGCAAAGTTTAAATAAAAAAATCAATTTGAATGAAATACCAAAAAAAAATCTTGACAAAAAAAGTCTGATACGCATTTGACAAGTATACCAAATTATTAAATATATAGTGACTTGAGTTATAATTATTTAATTTAATTCTAGTATTACACAAATGAATTAAATGTGGAGAAAAGAAAAACACTAGAGTAGAAGTTGAATAGTGTCAATCAAAAACTTACTTTTCTAAAATAGTGAAGTAATAAACTTATGAAGAAGTGAAAACCAAGAGTTAAGAAATTGAACACAAGGAATTTTTATATTGGTTCATCTCAACCATCGAGACTATATCCAATTCTTGATCCAACCAGATCAAGTTTCTCTATCTTATACAAAGAAACAAATATTCTTTCCTAAACTACTTCTAGCTCAAACTTAAGTGTTCTTTGACTTTTCTCTTCAAGTGACTACCTAAGTATTCTTTCAATACAAAGAGTCTCCAAATTTTAACAGCTAAGTATTCTTTTAACATGAAGCCTCTTCAAGCTTTAACACTAAGTATTCTTTTACAATTAAGTCTCTTTAAGCTTTAACACCAAGGATTCTTTTATAATCAAGTCTCTTCAAGCTCAGATTAGTAACACTAAGTTATAGCTTGGTTAAGCTAACAATGTTGTTTTCATCTTACTTTCAAGACGTGATACAACAAATACAATACAAAGTTATTTTACAGAAATAAAGAATATGATTAATAATTGGTTCAATTCCTTTCTTCTTTTTGAATCATCATGATTCCTTATATAGGTATTTTAATGAAGATGACCATTGCAAATTCTTGAGTATCTCTCATAAGCTTGCTTTGTTTGTCTTCATCCTTGTTCCTTGTGGAGAGAAGTGTCATTTGGTGCATTAAATATTTTCATCAAATAGTCACTTCTTATTAAATCAAGGAAGCTACTTATCATTTTTTAGGTAACAAACAAGTGGAACCATACATGTGTCAAGTTAGAGCAGTTTTTAGCAGCTTTATCTTACATTTTTTGTTATTAAGGGGATCTACTTGTCTTTTTTTTTTTTTTTATGGAAATCATGTCTCTTGTTTTTTTTTTATTGAATATGAGTGTCGACAAAGCTTTTTCATTCTATCTATTAAGGAATCATATAGACACAAACAATTTAGTTATCAAATATTATAAATGATATGAAATCAAAGTGTGTGTCTTTCAAACTAAGTGCTTCGTCTGGCTAAATAACTCAATCATCTCTTAGTGCTTATTCATCTTGGTGCTTTGTTTACAAAACTTTTCTCTAGAAATTTTTTTATGATTTTTGTCATTAAAACATGAAATCCTAAAGGGTCTAAGAACGTCTTTTGACATAACATTAAGGAAATTTAAAATTGTTTAATGTAAAGTATAAAAATTTATAGAATGATAAACGTAAAAAACATGTAATGGGCAATAAATAATTTAGATAATAATAAGAACAATTAATTAGAGATTGATTTCACTAACCTTTCTTATGTAAATCCTACCCAATTTTCATTCAATATTATAAATTATATAGTTAATTCAATAGCCCTCAAATATATTTAAACCCCAATTTTTTAAGCAAAGAAACTCTAGGTTGTTTAAGGAAATTCCTAATGCCTTGGTAATTTTTGTTAAGCAATCTATGTTAAGGTTAGGGATCTAAAAATTAACTGATAAGGCTTCACCACATTCCAAGAAAAGTGTTATCAACATTTTACCTAGATCATAATTCTAAAAGGATTTCCTAACCTTAGTTAAAATTATAAAATCATGCATTGACCAAAGCAAATATTAAGTATAAAGTAAAAGTGATTAACTAAATAAAAACAATGTATTGAATGAGAACAACAAAGATTACATAAGTACAATAATCATATCAATTTCCAACAGTAGAGACTTAGTCACTACATACTAGAAGAAGACCTTTAAGCGATTTGTGATTATAAAAATGACCTCATAAGAGCTCTCTTTAGTATCTCTACAATTATGCTCAAAGAAGTATTTTAAAGACCTTTTAAAAATTCTTATTTATAATATTTTGTAATGGACTTTTAGGTCATTTATGCTTGCTTAGAGCATCTATGTAACTCGCTCTTTTGAGACCCTATTTTTTTTTTCCTTTCCCATTTTACCCTTACCCACTCCCACTCATACTCCAACTCTCCTTCCTCTTTACTCACTTTTTCTCAAAAACCTTCACTCCCTCTTTTCTCACTCGTGGATTGCTTCTTGGTGGGTATCGGTGCTGATCAAGGATAGTTTGAGCTAGTTGAGTTGTACGGAGCTTCTTCCCCTTCGCCATTTCTTCCTCTCCGTCCGTTTTCTTCTTCTTCCTTGAGTTGCCTTCTTCCCGGAGCTCGGATTTCTTCACCGAGGTAAGGGAAGCTAGTTTTTTTAGCCGATTCTGCTGGAGAGGAGTTCTTAAACTCATTTTTGTGGCTGATTATCTGTTGATTGATGAGCTGTGGTGATGGATATTCATTTTCGGAGTTTTTCGGGGTTGGGTGAGAATTTTGGGATTTCTATGGTTTGTGGTTACATGCTTAAAAAGAAGTGTTTTTATTGATGTTTGATGAAAATGTAAGCTTTTGGTTGGTTTGCATGTGTTGGATCTGTGAAGTTTTGCAGGTTTTGGGAAATTTTCGAACTTGGAGAAGTTGTTGTTGAGCTTCGCGCTGGGCGCTATTCTTCGTGCCGGGCGCGAGACCACCAGGAGACTCCATTTGAGCAATCTCGCTGGGCGGAATGATGTATGCGCCGGGCGCGCTTGGAAATGGGAGTCTCTGGCTGGCCCTCGCTGGGCGTGACTTGATATGCGCCGGGCGCGATGACAGTTGTGGCATGTTTTAGGTTATCTGGTGTCGCACTGGGTGCGCGTTTGGACTCGCTGGGCGCGGAGGCTCCTTGGGAGTCTCTGCCAAGGGTGCGCTGGGCGCAATGCGAATTGCACCGGGCGCGAGACCTTGGTAGGTCTCTGCCTTTCCCACGCTGGGCGTGGGTTAGGCCACGCTGGGCGCATGAGACCCCTTGAGTCTTTATCTGGCATGCGCTGGGCGCAATTGGGTATTGCGCCAGGCGCATGAGAGCCTTGGGCTCTCTGGCTGAGGTACGCCGGGCACGAGCACGCTTGCGCCGGGCGCGCTGGCCCCCTGGTGCCTCTGGATGTGCCACGCCGGGCGCAACCATGGGTGCACCGGGCGCACGAGGATGTTGACTTGATGTGCTTTTAGCTGTTAAACTTTGCTGAAATTGCTGAGAAAGGTTGTTTTATGCTGAACTAAGCTGAATTTGATGATATGCTGTGCTGATTAGTTGTTGATGCTGAAAATATGATGTTAAGCTATGATAGATGTTTAATGTTGTGCTGAGTTGGGCTATTACTGATGATTTTCAATGATGTCTTATATGATATTGCTGTGCTCTAGAATGATGAGCTGAGTTGTGAGTAGTAAGCTGTGTTGAATACTACTTAGCTGTGTTGTATGCTGATTTGTTGTGTTGTGCTGTATACTGATGTGTTGTGCTGTGTTGTGAAATGCTGAGTTGTATGCTGTTATAGCCACTATTGTGGGGCTGTTATAGCCGCTATGTCGGGGCTGTTAGCCACTATTGTGGTGCTGTTATAGCCGCTGAGCGGTGCTAATATTGATGAATTGTTGTGGTGTAGTATAAGTTGTGCGGGTGTGCTGATAGCTGTAGATGTTTCCATTCATATATTTATATGTGTATGTTGATTTCTTTACACTAGCTTACCCTTTGTTGTCTCCATGATGTTTGGACTGCAACGATCATACTATGTATGGGAGCAGAGCAGGGATAGGTTGGTGGCTGGTGTAGGGTCTGTAGCTGGCAGACGGAACTGATCTATTTAGATGTTTTGTTGTTTAGCTACTGGGTGTAGTAGCTTTGATGTATTTTTGTTGTACACTCTAACTCTAGTCGGATTTGGGACCTTGTATATACATATATTCTAGATCCTATATTATATACTTGTTCTATCTGCCTGGTGTTTCCAGTGTGCTGTGTCGTGTGTAGTGACCAGCTGGGTCGTTACAGCTCTCAATAAGCTTGCTTGTTCCTCTAAAAGTGTTCTTTGTCTTGACTCATTTAGAGAGCTCTTATGGTCGTTTTGAGTGAATTTTGTTCGATCAGGCAAGTAG